CTAGAGCCATGCATTCCTCCAAAACCCAATATACGGTGTTAATGGGAGACTTCAATGCAAAACTAGGCACAAGAGAGAACGGTGAGCTGAAAGTAGGGAAATTTGGAATAGGGCAACGGAACCTAAGGGGCCAGCAGCTGGCCGACTTCATAGAGAAAGAGGGACTCTTTATGATGAACTCTTTCTTCCAGAAGCGGCCCCACAGGAAGTGGACCTGGTCGAGCCCCGACGGTTCGACAAAAAATGAGATTGACTTCATTATGACGACCAGACGACAACTGTTCAGTGATGTCTCAGTGATCGCGAGGGTGAAAACCGGCAGCGATCACCGAATGGTTAGAGGCACACTGAACCTAAACGTTAAGTTGGAGAGGTCTCGTCTAATGAAGTCAACGCTCCGTCCCCCTCGTGCTCTAATCCAAAGTCCCGAAACCTTTCAGCTCGAGTTACAAAACCGTTTTCAGTACCCAGAAGACTGCAATGAAGTGGACGATTTGAATGACAAGCTCGTGGAAACTGTCCATGCGGTCGGAGATAAGTTCTGCAAGACCCGCCGCAGAAGAACACAAAAACTCTCCGATCACACTCTTAATCTCATGGCTGCTAGACGGGAGATGAAGCTACATTCTTCAACAGATTTGACAGCATACAGGCAACTGAACAGACAGATCTCCAAATGCATGCGGCGGGACTTACGCAAATTCAATACAGCTCGTATTGAAGAAGCGATCGAGCGGAACCGAGGCTCCAAAGTCTTTGCCAGAGATCTGTCTGCCAGAAAGCGCCAACTGTCAAAGCTGAAGACAGAATGTGGCAGCATCGTTTCCGGGGCACCTGAGATTTTGAGTGAGATTGAGAGGTTCTATGGGCAGCTGTACACGTCATCGTTGGAGCCGCACGCAAGTGTGAGTAACGATCCAAGAGCGAGTCTTATCCGACATTATTCCGATGATATCCCGGACGTCAGTCTGAGCGAGATTAGAATGGCTCTCCAGCACCTTAAAAACGGCAAGGCCCCAGGCGAGGATGGAATTACAGCGGAGCTTCTGAAAGCGGGTGGAAAACCGGTACTTGAAGTCCTTCAGAAGCTCTTTAATTTCGTCCTCCATGGTGGCATTACACCGGAGGCGTGGAGCAGAAGTGCGGTGGTCTTGTTCTTCAAGAAAGGCGACAACGCTCTCTTGAAGAACTACAGACCGATTTCCCTTCTGAGCCGCGTCTCCGTGCTGTTTTCGAGAGTCATTACGAATCGTCTCGCGCGCAGACTTGACGACTTCCAGCCTCCCGAACAAGCCGGTTTCCGAAAAGGCTTTAGCACCATAGACCACATACATACCCTTTGGCAAATTGTACAGAAGTCCGAGGAGTACAATTTGCCACTATGTCTGGCGTATGTGGACTATGAGAAAGCCTTTGATTCCGTCGAAATTTGGGCGGTGCTGCAGTCCCTTCAGCGATGCCAAGTTGACTGTCGGTATATCGAAGTGTTGAAGTGCTTGTACAGTAGGGCTACGATGGCTATCCGAGTACAGAACCAGAGTACGAAACCTATCCAATTGCAGAGAGGTGTAAGACAGGGTGACGTCATATCCCCGAAACTCTTTACCGCTGCATTGGAAGATGTTTTCAAGCTTCTGGACTGGAAAGGATACGGTATCAACATCAATGGCGAGTACATCACTCACCTTCGATTTGCCGACGATATAGTCCTTATGGCAGAATCGCTGGAGGACCTAAGCACTATGCTCAATGACCTCAATACTGTTTCCCAACGGATAGGTCTTAAGATGAACATGGACAAAACAAAGATCATGTTTAATGTCCATGTCACACCTATGCCGGTAGTTGTTGGGAACACTAAGCTCGAAGTTGTTGACGAGTATGTTTACCTGGGACAAATAGTCCGACTAGGTAAGTCCAACTTCGACCGAGAGGTCAATCGACGGATTCAACTCGGTTGGGCAGCGTTCGGGAAATTACGGCACATCTTCTCGTCAGGTATACCTCAAAACTTGAAAACGAGACTGTACACCCAGTGCGTGTTGCCAGTGATGACATACGGAACTGAGACGTGGTCCTTCACTGCTGGCCGGATGAGGAAGCTCAAGGTCGCTCAGCGAGCTATGGAGAGGGCTATGCTCGGAGTCTCTCTGCGTGATAAACTCAGAAATGAGGATATCCGCAGTAGAACTAGAGTGACCGACATAGCCCAACGGATTAGTAAGCTGAAGTGGCAATGGGCCGGCCATATAGCTCGAAGAACCGACAACCGATGGGGAAGAAAGGTTCTCGAGTGGCAGCCTCGTACCGGCAGGCGAAGTGTAGGGCGTCCCCCCACTAGATGGAGTGACGACCTGGTAAGATATGCAGGAAGTCGATGGATGCAGGTGGCTCAGGACCGTGCTTTGTGGCATTCTTTGGGGGAGGCCTATGTTCAGCAGTGGACTTGTGAAGGGCTGTAATGATGATAATGATGATGATGAGGCAGTCTCATAATGGGGCGATGCCTATGTTGTGAAATTCAAGGCCTTTAAAACACAAGCGTGTCTTTTCACTGCATAAAGGAGCCAGCTCATCTTGGCTCCTTTTTTCCGAAATGTATCACTGGAATACACCGACCACCTTCAGTTGTTGGGGGTTGAAATATCCTCAAATCTGAACTTCGGGGGCTTCATTGAGTCCAAGGTCAAAGCAGCTGCAAGGAAGCTAGAAGTCTTTGCAAAGGTACGACGATATTTCAAGCCGCGACGGCTGCGTACTTTATATAAAACGCAAGTCCGGTCGTGCATGGAGTATTGCTACCATATATGGGCAGGTGCTGCAAAATGCCACCTAGTAGCTTTGGACTCAATAGAAAGGCGTGCTAAGAGGCTTATTCGTGACCCGAATCTGGTTAAATCCAATCATACCAGCATCGAATACAGGCGCAAAATAGCCAGCCTTTCGGCTTTTTACAGGATGCATTTCGGAGTGTGCGCAGGAATTTTATAATTTAATTCCTCCCTCTCTCTCCACCGTCGGACAACTAGACGTTCGGCCAGTCTCCACCCTCTCGTTGTTGACTTACCACGCATTCGAACCAAGCGGTTTGCTATATCGTCATCATGCGTACAGCAAAGGAGTGGTATAAGTTTCTAGCATCTGTCTTTCCATCCGATTACTATATGGGTGTCTTCAAGGCAAGAGTGAATAGGCTTCATCACCACTTTCTCTCATGTGGGATTGTAGTTAAGCGCTGGCTTAGGATAATATAAAAAAAAGGCTTCGATGACTAACTGCAGAGAATTGTAAGACATGGTGACGTTATATCTCCGATTTCTCTGCGTGGTAGAACCGTAACGATAATATCCGCAGTAGAACAAGATTAAACGACAGCCTAACGAAATATTAAGCTGAAATGGCATATTCTGGCCATACTGCTCGAAAAACTGACAACCGATCGAGAAGAAAGGTTCTAGTGTGGCAGCTTCGTACCGATAAGCCCTGCCCTCCACTAGATGAAGTGACCTGGTAAGAAATGCAGAAACGTGCTTTGTTGCATTCCTTTGGTGAGGCATATGGGCTGTAATAAAAGTTACAGCCTATTTACGTTCCACAGCTGGGCACAGGCCTCCTCTCATTTCTGAGAGGACAAGGAAATATCCGCCACGCCGCCCCAATTCGTGTTGGCGAACTTCATGTCTTCAAATTTTTTTTTTCTTATTTCTCAGACATGCAGGTTTCCTCACGATGTTTTCCTTCACCTCCGAGCACGTGGTAAATTAGCACTTAAAATTGCAATTAACAATTTCATTGGTGCTGGCAGATATCAAACCCGGGTTGCTCGAGTACTGTGAAGCTTACAGCGAGCACTAACCATCTGAGCTACCACGGCTGTAATAATGTTGATAAAATAAATGAATACATAAATGTTTAAGACCGCTTTTTGTATTCTCTATTTTTTGTAATTTTTTTTTTAGTACAGTGCTTCTAATCGCACTTTAAATCTATTACCTTTGTATTGTACATTCATTTTTAATCTCAATGTAAAATGGTAGAAGTTATTTACTGCCTAGAAATCGGTCTGAGTACCAGTCTTTAAAACCTGTTTCTGCCACCAAACACAAGTACTGTTCTAGTCTGGAGGGTATTTTAATTTATTCATTTAAACATTACAGCCTATCAGTCTACTGCTGAACGTAGGCCTACCCCAAACCCAAACCACATAAATTGCCTCATAGGCAATATATTTGCCATAGTTGCCACGCTTGGCAGGCGGTTTGGCAACCAATTTTTTATTATTTGTTGTTGTGAGGAAGATGTCTGCCCATCTCCTGTTTCAATTTCCCTCAGTCGCCTCTTACGACGACATCCACGGGATGATATAGGGTAGTGGTGGATTATCTAAGCATATTACATAATATCATTATGCAAGTAAATACATATTTACTGCATCTCCACGAGACACAATTTTACCTTGTGTGGCTATAAGATTATTCTTGTATCTCACCGATGAGACGTAACACATTTCACCAATAATCGTGTTTTTACCATTGGCAGTATTTTTAAGTTTCTTTGAGTTGTATCAACATGAAGAAGCGGACTCCGTTAAACACACTTAAAAGCATTACCCCACACTTTGGCAGAGATTTTGTCTTTCATGGCAATTTACATACATAGATTGCATAGAGAAGACAACCAGATTAGGAAGTTGTTATATTTTGCAACCAAAATATTTTCAATCGCAGGTGCACTGTGTGTCACCTACAACTATTTGTAGGCAATAAAATACTCAGCTCGTGTGTCAAAAGAAACCATGGCTTGCTGCAGCTAAATGCCTAGCCAATGCTGTCACATAAATGAAAGAAGATTTAAAAAAATCTGTATTATGTTTAATAACATGGAATAATTTCTGTACAAAAAAATTATATCATAATATACATAAATATATATATATATATATATATATATATATATATATATATATATATATATATATATATATATATATATATTTAACATCATTTTGCTTCCTCAGTTTTCTCTTGATAAGTGATAACACCCTTTTCAATAAGGTCTGGAATTTCAACAGCAAGCCAAGGTCCTAGCTGTAAAATAAAATGTATAAATCACAAATCAGAATGAGACTGGCCATTTTATGCCTCTACTCAAGGCTAAGCAGGTCTAGTATATATAAAATCAGGATCACACATCTTTTGTCATTTCTCTTTACTGATTCCAAATCTAATAGCTGGTATTTAGCAGCACCAGCACATACCTAGGAACAGACTTTCACAGCTAACTGGACCTGTGTTTTTTTATAGAATAAAGGTGACAAACGAGCACACAGTCCACCCGATGGTAAGTGGTTGCTGCGGCCCATAGACATCTACATCTATCCTCTGTTACAAATCAAAATGTAGATGCGTTGTCACCGGTGAGGACTAAGATGGAATGTGCCTCATTTCCAGTAAAAAGGGTCTCCGGCCACCTGCACTTACCAAGCGAAACGCAGAGGTAAACCTCTACTTCACGCTGGTTTTCTGTGAGGTCGTGGTACTACCCCGGTTCGAGCCGGCCCATCCATGCGACAGCAAAAGCTGCCGCGTGGCTCTACCACTGTTAAAACTGGTATTGTGAGAGCATGGTTCTATGCCGGTCGAGCTGGCTCATTCATGCTACAAGCATAATATAGCTGCAGTGTAGCTCTACCACATATTAAAACTGCTTTGATCAGATTCTGTCCCAGAGAAAAGTAGTCCCATACTTTCCAAGTTTTTACTAGTTTTCTTACAGCTTATAGCAGCCGATTGCTTTTGTTTGAGCAAATTGTCGCAGTATAAATGCCAGCATATTATTTTAGAAAGATCTGTGTCCAGCAGCAGACTTAAAAAATTTAAAAGAGTTGATGTATTGTGATGTGACAGAGCAACAATAGAACAAGATAATAAATGTATCAGAAAATTACCTAAGGCAAGCAAATGACATATGTCTTGTCTATCTGGCTTTTTAGGCCAACCCAACTACTCTTTCATGGAATCCACACTTAATTCCATGGATTTTGAGACAGAATAGCTTCTTAACAGCAAGCAAAGTTTACAATGAATTCAGTAGTTTTCATACTTAGTATTTAAATTCACTTATGAACTATAAGACCTCTGAAATTAGTAACCTTGTGCCCAGGGTTGGAAGTATGAGTATGTACTCTATATACACTTAACTTTATTGTTATTAAAAATCTTAAAGTTAAAAATCATCTTAAATAATGGAATCACTTACCCCAAGGGCCATAGCATGAGCAATACCAAATTTTGGAACATTTCTCGCCCATAGGGGCTTAAAATGATCTGTCAGACAAATTTTGCCACCTCTATACATTTTTGCTGTCTTTCCATCAAGACCAGGAAGTGCTATCTCAGGTGCAGTGGTTGGGTATGTCACAGGAATCTAAAATCAAATGGATTGTGATGATTGAAGTTATAAACAAGGGGTGTTAACCACATTTGCTTTATGGTAAAAGTTAAATTTATTAGTTCATTGGTCTCTCGTTTTTTCAAATATTTTTTGTTTCGTGTTGGTACTTACATCAAATTCTAAATCAAACTCATACTTTAGCAGGTTATGGACATACCAGCACTTGCCAAACCATCTAGTCCCCGTCTTATCAGATTCCAACCTGAACCAATCATTGTCAGCTGCTTTGTTGTTTTGTACATACTGAAAAATAAAATAAAATTATATTCTTACAATTAAGTACAAATAAATAAGTAGGTTGTTCAATTAACATTGTGACTTTAATTATTTATATCAACAAAAAAAATATTTACATTAAAATTTTACCATAGCCACAGCCACTGTTATTTTTAATTATGTACTGATACACTACTCATATTATACCCACACTATTCAAATAAAATACAATCTCTCATGCATCTCATAGACTGTGAAGTGGACAAGATATCAGTTATCAGAATGCTATCTCATAGGTAAGGCCAGTGTGTGCTCCTAAAACTCTTTTCTTTTGATTTAAGAAGGCAATATGATGTTATTTATACAGTAGAATCCGTTTATTATGACTCCGCTTATATTGACCAATGATGTAATAACACAACAAAGTTTGGTTTTCATATAAAATTCTTTATAATAAAGTCGGATAATATATTGACTTTGCTTATAGTGACATGTCGCTTATTGTGACCCATTTTTACTAAATTGTGTCCGGTTATAGTGACCGACATGATTCCTAATGCCTTCGGCAGCGTTCAGGAGAGTCAATTGATACCCAACGACGTTCGGTGCGCGCATGGCTTTTTTTTGTTTTGAGTCTCAGTAGGTAATTGATTGTTGAAGGTCACGGCATTGTTTGTTCGTGATTTGTGAAAAAAATGAAAGCTCACCGTCTGTGCATGTGCAGTTTAGAAAATGGAAAATCCAACTCATCCCTCGCAAGGGAATTTGGGGTTGGTGATTTTTAAAAACAAGAATTTATTATTAAGAATTTAAGTTACTTTAATTAAAGATTTTTCTCTATTAAAATAAATACATACCAACAAAAACTGGAGATTGTTTATTTTCTACAAAATGCTTTATATGACATCCTCTTAGTATGATGTGTTTGTTATTTCCCTTCGATGTCATTATAAACGGATTCCACTGTATTATCTTCGTCATCATATTACAGTTTCTTGATTTGAATAATTAAGGTGCTCTACAAATGTTTCTCTTGGTTTATAAGTCGTATGTAACCCTAACATCTATTCTTAATCTCTTCATTTCCCCGAAAATCGAAAATGATAGTCTCAGACCTAAGTAATTGGTTTTCAAAGTCAATCAGAATCAGAAAATATTATAAACTTCTACGTCTGCTATCAAAAAATGTTGAATACGTGGGTTACGGATCTCCACTAACATATGAGCGCTGTATCACGTATATTGCGCACGCGGGAATAATTCGTGTTTACCCTATTTAGTTAATGTATATATTACACAGAAATCGCAACCTAAAAGATTTAGTCTTAACAGTATAATTACCTTAATTAAAGCCTGATATTCTTCCTTCAATCGATTCACCCATAACTCCTTATCTCTCGGACCTGCCTTAGTCTGTAACAACGGTATGCTGCTGAGAGTTTTTTTAGTGCTTTCGTCTACCATTTTTCAAGGCATATAAACTATAAAATACTTAAGTTAAAACTTATATTATGCATGAATTTTTTTTAGTGTCTACGTTTACCAAACAACTTTTGATATCACGAAATTTCAGAGTTGCCATTTGATTAGATTTTTTAACCATAGACCTTAAACTGGTAAATTATTGTTTAGGTATAAATTTTCAGCCAGTAATAATTTATAATAAATACGAAAAATAAAACAAATAAAGTATTTTCTTGAACACTTTGACAAGCCTTAAGCCTAAGCTATGTTTAAAATTTTGTGAGCTTCATATGGTGGTTGTAAGTGACGAAAAATGGAGTCGGAGACCCTTCTAGTAAAAAGTAATCTATGATATGTCCCTATGGGTGGCAATACATCAGTGTTTTGATTTTTCGGGGATAGATGATGTCACCGTTTTTAAATACATCTTTGGTTACAGCATCAACTATTTATAAAGTGAACCCGTGAAGTTTTTGTAAACTAACTCCTTAAAAAGAAGTAAAAATGATTGTATCGGGCAACATTCATGTTTTACGAATGTCAACCTGACATCCACGTGTCGTCATGTCGTGCCTTCTCTTTTTCTTAATAACTGGCTTTACGGGTCTGGGATCTAGCCCTTCTGAGCCTGAAGTTACAATATCTATATTATAATAATTATCCTTCATAGTATACTGCTTCACAATATGTTGATGCGTCACATTGTGCGGCCCTTGGGAGATTTTGACGGCAACTTGAGCCAGCAGACAGCTGACGATTGGCGATGGTATCTCAAGGCGCCTAAGTAGACAGCCACCTTATTTTTAGAATCACATCACCATCAGAGCACTTGTTTCACAGTTTGCACTAATAGTTCACACGCGCAGACACTTAATACATAAAATCGCACCACTTTTACTTATCAAAGTCCACTTTAAGCCATTATTTAAACAATAATACAGGAGCAGCAAACCTCCGCCGGTTAAGTTCCCGCCAAAACCCCTCGTGTCGTGCTTAGTAACAGATCCACAGACTAATATATAATATGTAAAATATAGAGAGGCAGCATATTCTACTATAGAAATAATAATTATACAAATATCTATAATATCGATACACAGATGTCAAAAACAGTTTTGTTTTTTTTTAACAAAGCAGTAGCTGCATTAGAAAAGAGAGACAACTACAGTTTGTCAAATGCTTATTTTGGCAACACTTTGGTGTGACGTAATTAACTCATCTATGCGTGACTGCGTCCCCATTTTAAGCGCCGAGTTTTATGATAGATCTGCTGTTATACTGTTGCGTGCTAAAATTTATTTTGTTGTTTTCCTGAAAAATATGGCTAGAAATTGGATATTGTGGTGCACTAGGATTTGCCGTAAATAATTAATCATGCCCTCGTGTTGCATAAAACAACGTGGTGCAAGAAAAAACAAAAATCAGCCTGAATTGACCATTCACATGTTAGTAAACAATTTTCATTGATTTTTCATTGATTTTGTATGATGCATTGTTACAAGATGATCTTTTGAAAGATTACTGAGACCTGTGTCAGTTTTGTGTGCTTTTGGCATTGATATTTTCTTTATTTCATTTCATTGTTTACATACAATAGTAAGGTTAGTAAATATAGTGATGCACGCATGCGATCAGCGATATTGAAGTTTGGATAATATTTTGTACAATTTTTTTTGTGTATAGTTGCAATGGTATTTTATTCGACAGGTTTCCAGTAAATGAACTTTTAAAGAAAAAAATGGCTATCTGTTATTGGAACTGAAAATATAAACCGCCGACATAAAATGTGGTATGTCTGCTCAATGCACTTCGAGGAGTAATGCTTCAACAGAACTCTCGATGTGACAAGGTTACATGACAATTCAGTGCCCTCACCGTCTCTTATAGTAGGTTTTTTCTTCTATGTATATTTTATAATGTTACTAGATGACCCTAATTACCTAAAAGTGATTGGATTGTAACTCTTCATTTTTTTCCTAAGCCACCCTGTTATTGAGGGCTAACAAATCATATTTTTTTTCATTCAAATTGGTTGTGGCCCTCGAGGCATTTTTGAGTTTTTGCAATATTAACGTACGGCAATTGATTTTTAAATTAAAATAATTTTGTGAAGCATAATTTTATCATGTCATGTGTTATAAATACTTTTATATTTTGACAGTAATTTAATGAATGAAATAGTTGGATTGAGTCATATTGTAACTTTTTCAGCATATTTCCAAGCAAATAAGTGTCTTACAACCTAGTTCAAGTATAATGGTAAGAATGCATTTTTTAATTATTACTTTATGTAACATGCATAATTTAGTAATTTATTTAGCCAAGAATAAGACTGCTAACAAGTTTTGTAAATATTAAAAAACCCAGTAAATGTATTTGGTTGAGGGAGGAAAAACAAATGCTTTATCTTTCAGGAGTGGCCTTCAGTATGTCTAAATTGACTATTTATTTATTTAACTCAAAACGGGATATGGGTTTATTTATACTCTAAAAACTATAACTTTATACGATTAGTGTTTACTATAATTTTTTTTTAATAAATTTGGTGATGATTTTAAATAAGAATAAAATTCTGACCATTGTTATCAACATTGCCTTTAGAACTGGAACGTGTAAGTGATTTTTTTCAGACGTCACAATTTATTCATTACTATATATAATTACTCTTTCTACTGGATCATATTTTGTACCAGGTAGACATAAAATATATTCGATTAAAATGCAAAAAACATTAAGTATGTTGAAGGTTGTTGGTGCGAATTGTTGGTACTTCTAAGTCAGTGTATACATTCCACAGGTAACTGTTTAGTAAATTATTTTTTATGATTTAAGTAAAAAAATGATTAAATACAGTTAAATCCTGATTTACTTTACTGTTGCTCTAATTTATTTTTGTACCGACAATTTAATACGTCGAAATTTAAATTTAGTTACTTTAATACTATTATTAAGTGTTTCATTGGTGATAAGTTCCGAACTCCAAGTTCCGAAATTTCTCGTATAATATTTGATATTATGGATATTACTCAATTGGAAGTTTTAAAAATAAATTGTAAATTACTCGATCATCTATAATAAAAAATCTTAACAATATCGATAATTTCGTTTCGATAAATCCGATACGATACTGGTATCGAGTAAAATATCGATACTTTTGAAATTTTGTGGAACACTAAGAAGAAGAAATACCTAAATAGGAAATAAGGAACCACCGAGACTAGAACTTAGAAACTAGAATTCAAAAAAATCATCCGAATTATCTGCCATTTTTACATATCTGAACTGGCAACCCTTTCAGTATGTTTATTTTTGATGGAGATTTCCCTCAAACTTTGAGAGGAATACCCTTTAGCTAAATTCGTACAACGCGACATTTTAGGGGAATTATATAAGCAAAAGATTGTACTATTTTTCCATTACTTATTTAGAAGACTCCTAGTAAAAATGTTCTGCCCTAGAGACAAATTTTCGTCATTTTCGTGAATAATGTAGCGGTTAATAAGTGATACAGCATTAAAATGATTTATCTATTTATGTGAAATATATGCTGAGTCTTCAAGTTGGTTCTATTCTTAAATTTAAGAGTAACTTGATTTTTAGTGGGGCAGATTAATCATATAATTATTGAAAAGCGCGTGTGATTTTACTACGTAAGTATCTATCTGTTTTATAAATAAATTGTAGTACGTAAAAAAATACGTAATATTGACCACATCTTGCTAAAAAGTGTACTTACTTTTATTCCTTAAGGTAAATAGTAGAATAGTTTTAGTGCCGATATCAGCATATCCGGTTAGCATATTCGTCAATTAAATTTTCAGTTTTTTGACAGTTATTGTATGAGTTTGACAGTTCTTCTTTGACAAATAGGCTATTCGGGACTTTATAACAGGTGGTGAAACCGGTCTTTAATTTAATATTGACCGCAAGGTATGTTAAAAATGTTTTAAGCAATAAATTAATCGTGTGAAAATGAACATTGCTCCTCTTTCGGCATTTTAATTCGCATCTGTGACTGCTCACTAGCAGTCACCCGCGGCTTCGTTCACGCGCTCACCATAATTATTATTCTCCTGGGAATGAGTAACTTTTCTGATGTAAAATGTAGCCTATGTCAATATCCTTTTCCAAACTTCAATTTACATATATCTACATACCAAAATTTATCCAAATTGGTTCATTGGTTTAATCGAAAAAACGTAGCAGTCAGAGAAACAGAATGACTTTCGAATTTTTAACATTAGCATTGTTATTACATCTACTCAAATTTATTTCATATTTTTATTTTTACCGTACAGATTGCCTGACGGTATATCACACTTTTCGGGATACTAACATAAAAACAAAAAACCCGAAAAAGACGCCGAGCGACAAAAGCAAGCAAAGGCATCAGAATCCTTTTTGAAAAAAGGTGAGCTAAATAAACCATCGTCACGCATACCAACCACGAAATATATACCATACACATATACAAATACAACGATACCGATGATGAAACCTCGAGAGTAAAATACGTCTGATTCCAATATAATCTGTAAACCTAGTGCTTCTATTCCTATTGCACAAGATATCAATGGTCGAAGATTTACTTCGAGAAAAAAGAAGAGAAAGCTTAATAAACGTGAAGAAATTTTGAGAGATTGGCTTGTATATTCTGTGGCAAAAATTCGTTGTATTGCTTTTGCTGTAAAATCTTCAATACAACAACATCTTCCGGTCTATCTGAAAATGGCTACAAAAATTGGAAGCATGTAGGTGACATGCTTAAATCTCATGAGACATCACAAAACAATGTAGAAGCTGTAAAATCTTGGGTAGAATTTTCACGTAGGCTCAAATCGTGTCGTACGATAGATGCTGAGTCACAGAGAATAATGAAATCATAAATAGAACACTGGAATAGAATAATGTAACGAATTGCCACAATCATCAAAATGTTGACCAAAAATGGCTTGGCTCTTCAAGGTACTTCTGATAATCTGTATCAACATAACAATGGT